CAGGGAGACTAGTGAAGGCTGCATAGCCTATCAACGTTGTGCTTCATTCCCCAGAGAGTATCAGTCCTGGGATTCTGGCAGTCGGTCTCTCTGAGGCTATGTCTACACTGGCAGAGTTACAGCGCTGGGAGTTACAGTACTGCTCAGAGAGCGCTTAAGGGAAACTGCTACTGTGTGTTCACACTGTCAGCTGCCTGTGCAATAGCATGTTCACACTTGCGGCACTTGCAGCAGTATTTAGAGTGGTGCACTCTGGGCAGCTATCCCACTAAGCATCTCTTCCTCTTCTATGGCTAAGAGTTGTGGGAAGGCAGAGGGCATCACGGGGCATCCTGGGTCCTGTCCCAATGTCCCATCATGCATATCTTCATATGCCAGTAATCCCTGTGCTTCCGTGCACATTTGGCGTCATCTTTCAACTGTTTGTGTACTGCACATTCTGCCTCTTTCAAGCTGCAGGAATGGATCCTGCACTGTTGATCAATATGCTGCTCGCTCTCACTAACACGTCATGAGTGGCAGTGGTGTTATTCCTTAAACTACAAAGGCAAGAGGAGTGCAACATTGATCTTGCCATGCGTAGCAGCTATGACAGGAGGTTGCTTGTGGCATTCATGGAGGTGCTGACCACAGTGGAACGCCGCTTTTGGGCTCAGCAAACAAGCACCGAGTGGTGGGATCACATCGTCATGCACATCTGGGAGGATAAGCAGTGGCTGCAGAGCTTTCAGATGAGGAAAGCCACATTCATGGGACTGTGTGGCAATTGCACTGTGGAAGCTGGCTACTCCAGATTGCTATCAATCAGTCACTAACCAGTTCAGAGTGGGAAAGTCAACCATTGGACCCGTGTTGATGGAAGTGTGCAGGGCCATTAATTGCATCCTGCTCTGAAAGACACTGATTCTGGGCAACGTGTATGACATTGTGGACGGCTTTGCACAAATGGGCTTCCCTAACTGCGGAGGGGTGATAGATGGCATGCATATTCCAATTCTGGCACCAGACAACCTAGCCATCAAAAACATTAATCACAAGTGGGGGGTTCTCAATGGTTCTCCAGGCGATTGTGGGCGTTTCACAGACAAGAAGTCAGGCTGGTCCAGAAAGGTGCATGATGCACATATGTACCTCCTAAGGGGGACGGAGTCATCCATCTGCCGACCAGACTGAAAGACTCAAGAAGTGTGCTGCTTGCCTGGAACTAGAATTCAGGATCTGAGGGAGTGTCTGCCGAGACTGATCAAGCCCTGGGACCGCTAGCCCTTCCTACTTCTCCACATGGGCAGCAATGATACTGCCAAGAATGACTGAGTGGGTCACTACAGACTACGTGGCTCTGGGAAGAAGAATAAAGGAGTTCGAGGCGCAAGTCATGTTCTCGTCCATCCTCCCTCTTGAAGGAAAAGGCCCAGGTAGGAACCGTTGAATTGTGGAGGTGAATGTGTGGTTATGCAGGTGGTGTCAGAGACAGGGCTTTGGATTCCACGACCATGGCATGTTCCAGGAAGAAGGATTGCAAGGAAGAGATGGGATCTAACTAATGAAGAGAGGGAACAGTATCTTCATAGGCAGGCTTGCTAACCTAGTGAGGAGGGCTTTAAACAGGTCACTGTCCCCCAATGAACCTAAAGCAGTGAGGTAAGTAGGGAAGTGGGATAGCGGGAGGAAACACACCCTCCTCCTTGTAACGGGGGGGAGGAAGGGGCTCCTGATTCATACTGAGAAAGCAGGGCAATCTGCTAGTTATCTTAAGTGCATGTAAACGAACGCAAGAAGCCTGGGAAACAAGTAGGAAGCATTGGAAGTCCTGGTCCAATCAAGGAACTATGATTTGATTGGAATAAAGAGACTTGGTGGGGTAGCTCACATGACTGGAGCATTATCATGGATGGGTATAAACTGTTCTGGAAGGACAGGCAAGGGAGGAAAGGTGGAGGAGTTGCACTGTATGTAAGACAGCAGTATGATTGCTCAGAGCTCCAGTATGAAACTGGAGAAAAGCCTGTTGAGAGTCTTTGGTTTAAGTTTAGAAGTGAGAGCAACAAGGGTGATGTCATGGTGGGCATGTGCTATAGACCACCAGACCAGGAGGATGAGTTAGACGAGGCTTTCTTCGGACAATTAACTGAAGTTTCTAATGGGAGACTTCAATCATCCTGACGTGCTGGGAGAGCCATACAGCAGTGCACAGACAATTCAGGCAGTTTTTAGAGAGTGTTGGGGACAACTTCCTGGTGCAACTACTGGAGGAATCAACCAGGGGCCTTTCTCCTCTTGATCTGCTGCTTACAAACAGGGAAGAATTGGTAGGGGAAGTAGAAGTGGGTGGCAACCTGGGCAGCAGTGACCATGAGATGGTTGAGTTCAGGATCCTCACAAAAGGAAGAAAGGAGAGTAGCAAAATACGGACATTGCACTTCAGAAAAAGCAGACTTTGACTCCCTTAGGGAATTGATGGCCAGGATCAACTGGGAGGCTAATATGGGGTGGGGAAAGGAGTCCAGGAAAGCTGGCTGTATTTTAAAGAAGCCTTATTAAGGGCACAGGAACAAACCATCCCGATGTGCAGAAAGAATAGCAAATATGGCAGGCAACCAGCTTGGTTTAACAGTGAAATCTTCGGTGAGCTTAAACACAAAAAGGAAATTTACAAGAAGTGGAAACTTGGTCAGATGACCAGGGAGGGGTATAAAAATATTGCTTGAGCATGCAGGGGTGTAATGAGGAAGGCCAAAACACAATTGGAGTTGCAGCTAGCAATGGATGTGAAGGGTAATAAAAGTTTCTACAGGTATGTTAGCAACAAGGTGGTCAGGGAAAGTGTGGGACCATTAATGAATGGGGGAGGCAACCTAGTGAGAGATAATGAGGAAAAAGCTGAAGTACTCAATGCTTTTTTTACCTCCGTGTTCACAGACAAAGTCAGCTCCCACGCCGCTGCACTGGGCAACACAGTATGCGGAGGAAGTGAGCAGCCCTTAGTGGAGAAAGAACAGGTTAAGGACGATTTAGAAAAGCTGGACATGCACAAGTCCATGGTCCAGATCTAATGCATCTGAGGGTGCTGAGGGAATTGGCTGATGTGGTTGCAGAGCCATTGACCATTATCTTTGAAAACTCATGGTGATCGAGGGAGGTCCCAGACAAATGGAAAAGGCAAATATAGTGCTCATCTTTAAAAAAGGGGAAGAAGGAGAATCCAGGGTACTACAGCCTCACCTCAGTCCCTGGAAACATCATTGAGCAGGTCCTCAAGGAAACTATTTTGAAACACTTGGAGGAGAGGAAGGGACCTTAGGAGATCATCTAGTCCAACCCCCTGCTCAAAGCAGGACCAATCCCAGACAGATTTTTGTCCCAGATCTCTAAGTGACCCCCTCAAAGGATTGAACTCACAACCCTGGGTTTAGAAGGCCAATGCTCAAAACACTGAGCTATCCCTCCCCGCTCAGGAACAGTCAACATGAATTCACCAAGGGCAAGCCATGCCTGACCAACCTGATTGCCTTCTATGATGAGATAACTGGCTCTGGGGATATGGGGAAAGTGGTGGATATGATATATCTTGACGGTATCAAAAACGTTGCTAAAGTCTCCCACAGTATTCTTGCCAGCAAGTTAAAAAGTATGGATTGGATTAATGGACTATAAGGTGGATAGAACGATGGCTAGATTGTCGGGCTCAATGGGTAGTGATCAATGGCTCGATGTCTAGTTGGCAGCTGGTATCAAGCATAGTGCCCCTGGGGTCAGTCCTGGGGCCGGTTTTGTTCAACATCTTTATTAATGATCAGGATGATGGGATTAATTGCAGCCTCTGCAAGTTCACAGAGGACACTAAACTGGGGGAGGGGGGTAGACAAATTGGAGGATTGAGCCAAAAGAAGTCTGATGAAGTTCAACAAGGACAAGTGCAGAGTCCTGCACTTAGGATGGAAGAATCCCATGAACTGCGACAGGTTGGGGACGGACTGGCTAAGCAGCAGTTCTGCAGGAAAGGACCTGGGGATTACAGTGGGTCAGAAACTGGATATGAGTCAGAAGTATGCCCTTGTTGGCAAGAAGGCTAATGGCATATTGGGATGCATTAGTAGGAGCACTGCCAGCAGATTGAGGGACATGATCATTCCCCTCTATTCGGCACCGGTGAAGCCAGATCTGGAGTATTGCATCCAGTTTTGGGCCCCCACTACACAAAGGATGTGGACAAATTGGAGAGAGTCCAGCAGAGGGCAACAAAAATGATCAGGGGGCTGGGGCACATGACTTACGAGGAGAGGCTGAGGGAAGTAGGCTTATTTAGTCTGCAGAAGAGTAGAGTGAAGGGGGATTTGATAGCAGCCTTCAACTACCTGAAGGGGGGTTCCAAAGAGGATGGTGCTTGGCTGTTCAGTGGTGGCAGATGACAGAACAAGGAGCAACGGTCTCAAGTGGCAGAGCGGGAGAGCTAGCTTGGATATTAGCAAATACTATTTCACTAGAAAGGTGGTGAAGCACTGGAATGGGTTACCTAGGGAGGTGGTGGAATCTCCATCCTTAGAGGTTTTTAAGGCACAGCTTCACAAAGCCCTGGCTGGAATGATTTAGTTGGTGTTGGTCCTGCTTTAAGCAGGGGGTTGGACTAGATGACCTCTTGAGGACTCTTCCAACCCTAATCTTCTATGATTCTCTCTATGCTTCATGAAACTTTGGATCAAAATGGTAAAAGACAGTTGTTCCCATTTTAATCATGGCATCCTTTAAGAGTGTGATCAATGCCATTTAACTAGGGAGCAGCTTTCTAAAAATAGTTTACCTGGGCCACAGGTCACCATAGCTTCTATCTCTGGGGTGAAAAATCAACCACTAGTACCTGCAATTTCTACCTGAGTTCTTGTCAAATCTTTGACCTTACTTGGAGTAATTTTACACTTCTCTGGCGTAGAATACTTCACCAACCATACAACATATCAGTAGCAATAGTGAGGTATAACTCCCCCAAATATGCCCTTTTTTTAATTTGGTGGGACAGATTTAAATTAGGGACTAAATTCAGGTGCTGCTTAGAATCACTGTAAGATAACAAATATCAGGTATCTATTAAAAATAGATATATTTCTGCAGCTATATCAAATTCAACATGGATTTCATTTTCTACATATTTGCAGCATCTCCCAGGGGTGAGCTGAAGAGAAATGTCACTTCCATTTTTCCCATCTCTACCTTGATAGGGATTGCATTTCCCAAATAATAGGCAACATGCACCTGACTAGGAAGGAGATATCTTCAGGAGCGACCTCCTGCAGGGCCTGGGCCACAACTGCTTTGGGAGCCCAATGCATGGGTATTTTGCTTAGTTACAAGTCATTTACTAGGGAATGCTCTTCCCAGGCCTTTAGAAAAAATATTGACCTAACCAATTGAACAACAGGGGGATTGGGATGGTGATGGGGAATAAGCGAATCTCTCTGACTTACCCTATCTTCTTCTGTTGTTACAGAGGGTGAAATGACATTTTTCCTTATCCCTGCCCTGTTCCTGCTCTTTGTTATAGTTCAATATATTTTAAATGAGGAAAATGGTAGTAAAAATATCTGTTTTCCAGCACAACCTGAAGCAACGTCAGTGCAAATGGGAATGAAACAATTTGTTCTCGGAGGGGGAACTTGATGACTAACAATTGCTTTGAAATGGGGGAACAGTATAACCGTGATGCTCAGGGTTTGTTTAGGTCAGGTCAAGGGGAAAGCTAATGCCAACCACTGCACATGGGCTGCATCTGCTCTACAACTAGAATTGTCTTTTTACACCAAGATCACTAACTTGAGCAGCCAATGCCATGTACAGTCCTAGTGGATGTAAGGTACAGGTAGTTTTTGCCTCAGTGTAGCTTGTTGGGATCAAATTTCTCTCTCCCACCTGGAGCCGATGAACATTACTGGCTGGAGGGACACACACTCCTACGACTCAAAAGGAAAGGAGTGGATAGAAAAGATCACAGGACTGACCCCAAAGAACAGTGAGCTTCAAAAGGCAGAAGCAGGCAACTCATCTGGGGGGAGCTGAGAGACCACGTGAAGATAGTGATATTTGCACCATATGGGAATTAGCAAAAGTGATTTTAAAAAAAATCAAATCTTTGGCCAGCCCTAATCTAGGCATTTATTACAGTTCTCTCTCATGTGGATTTTCTGATGTTTAATAAGGGTTGAGCTTTGATTGAAGTTTTTCCCACACTCAGAGCATCCATAAGGTTTCTCACCTGTGTGGATTCTCCTATGTCGGATAACATGTGAGCTCCAATTGAAGTATTTCCCACACTCAGAGCATCCATAAGGTTTCTCACCCGTGTGGATATCACATAGTTTCA